TTCCCAAGTATTTTATTTTTTTGGTAGCTATTGAGAAAGGACTTGGTTTCTTGATAAAACATTTAATTCTTAGATGGAAAGTATTAATACTCAAGGAAACGACTAACATTTTGGTGTAGAAAACAAAAGAACATCTTTTTTGAGTGGGAATATGAATCATAATTTTAAGTCCCTTTTTCGATTTCCTTTATTTGAGTAAGTCACAGCACTATCCTTATCAGTAATTTGGTACCCTGCCCACTGGAATTGGGTATAATATACTGATAAAACAGTTGATATCTAGATTCTTTCACCTGAATGTGTGAGTCACAGTGCCATTTTCATTTAATTACATGTAATTACATTATGTGTGTTAGACCTGTACCGTTCATTATGGTGGCCACTTGCTAAAAGTGGCTAGTACAACTGAAACAAATACTAAAGAAAGTTGTTTTTTTGGTACTTGATCCAATTACTAAGGAGTTCTGGTGGTGTGGTGGTTAAGCCACTTGGCTGCTAACGAGAAGGTCACTGATTTGAACCCACTGGCTGCTCCACAGAAGAAAGATAGAGCAGTCTGCTTCTGTAAAAATGTACAGCCTTGGAAACCCATTGACGGCTGCTGTGAATTGGACTCGACTACATGGCAATGAGTTTGGTTTGATCCATTTATAGGAAAACTTTTAAATATGCTTGAAACGAGTGGGTATATGAATCTACTTAATCAATTATAAATTTAATGAAATCTAAACATGGTTCAATCTAACAACAACAACAACACCAAATATAGTTCATTTCTGATGATAGTGTCCAAATTCAGATGTGTAATAAGTGTAAAATAATAATGTATTTAGAAAGCTTTGCACAAAAGAAAGAATGTAAAATATTTAATTAATACTTTTTATATTTTTATTTATAAGACTACATCATGCTGGTAAGACGTAAAAAGAAACAGGTGAAATTACTTATAATAATATATTTTATGTAACTACAGGGAGGAAGTGGGAATAGAGTTATTATACTGGGGGGAAATACAGTCAGTGTCATGAAAGAAAATGTGTATGAACTGCTGTATGGAAAATGAATTTGCTCTGTAAATGTTAAAAAAAAAAAAA